TATTTCTAAATACCAACGGAAACACATGTATAAAGGCTGTGGGTTTCTTCTTCTGCAGTGTTCAACTTCATGTGGGAATGGCATTCAGACACGGCAGGATTTCTGCTTCAACCCGTTAACCCGTAAGCACGTGAACCCCATCTTCTGCAGGCACTTCCCCAAGGCCATTGTGATACGTGGCTGCTCTGCAGGGCCCTGTCCTGAGCAGGCGGTGGGGACCAGGTCCCATGGAGCAGAACTGCAGACAGTGACACCAGCCGCGCGTCTGACGACAGCTGCGACTGCTAAAGAGGCGAGATACAAGGACCTGGATGTTCCTCCATCTGCTGTGCCAGCTGTGCCTCAGGAACAGACGAACACCAGTGGAGGTGAGGTGCCTCTACCAATAGGTGCTTACTGTGTGCAGCTGGGTTGTGGTGACCTTACTGCCATGCAGGGACAGGAGCATGGGAAGGGAATACTTCTGGTTAGGAGGGACAACATGCTGTTCCTTCCAGCATGCCATGAGCTGTCCGTGTTATCTGAGCTAGGAATAATGACTCCCTTCCCTGGGCTTCCCAAAGCTCTTCTGACTTGGGACTCCTTGGGGCAGCAGCTGATTCTTCCTGTGCTTTACCCAGAAGCTGTGCACTTGTCTGTTCATTGTGCCACAAAGGGAATGGGGGCTGTTTTTCAGCAGCTGTAGTTCCTTCTGGATGTGTTTCTCATCTGTCTCTGCTGTACAGGTGTCTGTGGAAAGCTCTTTCTTAATGCCACCGGGATCATCAACATGACGGGTGTAGAGAGCAGCGACTGCACTGTGGCCATCGGACGTCCTCTCAGGGAGGAGATAACAGTCAGCATCCTGGAGAGCTCCCTCAACTGCAGTGCAGGTACTGCCCAGGGCGTGCTGGGGACTAGCCTGGCCCTTTGGGAAATCTGCACCTCTTTTGCCTGTGTGCTTTTGGTGCCCTGAAAGGTTCTTGCTGCCTTGGAGCCTGTGTAATCTCTGAAACCATTTTACAAGTTTTTCTGTCCCCCCAAGTCATTGCCAGATGGGACTAAATGAAGATGATGCCTTTCTTCCCCTGACATGATGGTTTCTTACCTGTTTTGTTGATAGATATTAGATGAAAGGAGTTTATGGGGTTAAAGAAGCTGCTTGCTTTGGCCTGTTATAAACTCTCTCTGTAATATACCCTCTTGCTGGAATCAGTACAGTTAGATTAGTTAACTGGACTGTTTTCATGACAGATTTTGATAAGATAGGGACAAGATGCAGAAATTACTTGATTCCAGACCTATATGAGATAGGTTGCAGCCTTTTACTTCAAGTAAAAGTGTTTCTGGTCCCTGTGCTCATCCATTCCAGGTGAGGTAGTGCTGTTTTCTGGGCGAATGATGTGGCGGACAGGCTGCAGGAAGCTCCCTTTGTCACTGATAAATTCCAGAACGAATACACTGATTGTGAAACAGCGTGTTTTGCTGCCAGGAAATGGGGTCATTCTTCAGTACAACAGCAGAACTGCAACTAAAAAATATTACCAAGGTACCTTACTGAAAGCTTTGCTATTGCTTTAGATTAAGGCACCCATGACAAGGCCCACAGAGTTCCATGGATCATGGTTGCCTATGGAAATCTATGGAAACCTTGCTTCATTTTTAGCAGCTAATAAACCCCTTCTTGGGGAGTGTTGGAATTAATATTACTTGTGGACCACCCCTCCGTTTTAAAGGCAAGCCCCTTGCAGGTGTTTGCTGATGCTTGGAGGTTCCCAGATGAAAATCCTTAGAGAAACTTTTCTGCCTGTGTTTAATTTAAATGATTTCTTTCTTGGAGATCGTGGACACTTCTCTAAATCATTTTCTTTTCTGCTCCCTTTCCCCCTCTCAGACTGTGACAAGCAGCTGTTTGGCCCCCACGGTGAAATAGTGAATCCTGTGCAATTGCCCGATCAAAGGCAAGAAGTAGTGTGTCGGACCTTCATCAATGTGGCTCCTCGGCATTGCATAGCTATCCGCGCCCTATATATTGACCTGGGCAATGAGAGCAACCAAACACATTTTAATTACATCCTGGTGAGTCAGAAACCTAAAGGGGATGATTTGGATGGGAACGGACCTGTCTCCTCATCAGAGATTTCCATCCAGATTCAAAGTTCAGTCACAAATTCTAGAGGGTCAGACTCTGATCTCTGTTATGTAAATGTAGATGTGAATGAGCACTACTGATGTCTACTGTATTTCTTCTAACCTTTGTATAGGGCAGTTTTTCCCCCCTGAGTGACCAATTTGCAAGTCCCCAGTATTCTGTGGGTACTTCACTTATAGGCTGCTATGATATAATGGTTTGGTCTTTCTTTATGTAGGTCCGTGATGTAAGCACCATGAAGACGATGGTGTTCCATGGGAAACAACAATTCTTCTGGCAATCAACAGGAAGCCAAGCTGAAATTGAATTTCATGAAAACATTAAGGATCACCGAACCAGTTTCTGGGCTGAATATCATGCTATTGAGCCCAAATAAAAGGGGCCAGGCTACTGCACTGAGAAAGGCCGTAGTCCAGTTAGTCACTGCTGCCTGTTCACTGCTCGAGGTCACACGAGTCATTTAACCTTTTGCAACAGCTTCCCCATCTATTGAGTAAAACAATAATATCTACTCACTCCTTTGGGATCTCAGTTAATATTTATAAAGGTTATGCAAAAGACATGTAACTACCAAATATTTAGCAGATAGTCCTCATACGGATTTTCTGTCTGTGTTGATTGGTATTAATGCAGTTTACATGTTTGCAGTTAGTGACTTGGACACTGAAGTCTCAGGGTCCGGCTTCTGTAATACGCTGTGACCTTTTAGGATAATTGTTTAATTTCTCAGTGGCTCAGTGTCCCATTACAAACCTCTGTATACCACAAGTAGCTATGATTATGGTTTAGCCATTAAGTTCACTCTGTTGCAATGTTAATTCCCCTTGAAACTGAGGCCCATTGAAATTCTGGAATGTTACAAAGAAGGTGAAGATGTGTATGAGGACTAACTGCTAGCACAAGAAGACTAGAGACGTATGAGGGCAAGACAGTTTCTTTGCCCGGGAGGGTAGTGCAACACTAGGACAGGTCACTCAGAAAGCTTGAATGTTTTCAGGAGTTGGCTAGACCGAGGCACTGCTGATCTGGTCAAGCCCTGGTGACAGCTGGCTTTATATGGGAGGACTAAATGACATCCAGAGGTCCCTCCCCAGCCACCCCTTCTGTGGTTCTACTATTATATATCTGACAGTGATACCAGTACTTCTTTTCCATGGGAAAATAAAATAATTCTGTCTCTTAATGATGGGTTTGGTGCCAAGGCATACTCAGATAAGAACAGTAGCTTGTATCTTCATCTCACAGGAACTGTGCAATGAGAGGTTGTTGAGACTGCATGATACGAGTTGTAGCAGGAAGAGGTATTTTAGAGCAGTGACAAATATTCACTCAGTTTGATTTAAATACATTTTTTAGGTTGTTTTTATTTAATATCTTGAACATTGGATCATGCTTTTGTCCAAATCTGTCATGCTCCAAAATCACAATATACTGCTTGAGGGGTCTTTTCCGCACCTGGAGCCTGGCTGGACACATCTGCCCTTGCTCTTCACGCTGGATGCAATAAATGGTTCTGCCTGGGCAGTTTTAACCCTGCTTCTGCTTTCTTTCAGTTGCATTCGCTGACATCTTTTTACAACCGCAAAATCTTATTTTCTTCTGTCTTCTTAGTAGTTGTTTTTTGCTGGTTGGGCCTGGAGTTTTTTGCTTGCCAGCCTCCAGATTTACGTTCCATTCTTGGAAGAGCTAGAAAGTAGATTCTTGAAGCGAGATCCTTGAGGAGCTGGATATATCAGCTATCCCACTGCAGTGCGTGGGTGATGCAGGCACTGGGCCTTCATTTCCTGTCTAACAGGAGATGTTAATGAAAAGACATCCTTTTCTTAATCCTTTTTTGTAACCTTTTAGCAGATGGGATCTGTCTTCCCACTCTGCTCTGGATCCCAAGTCTCACTGCTATTTATTGTTCCAGATCAACTATGCAGAGTCCCTGGTCTGCAGAGATGGGCTCTGGTTACTGACTGTATGCTCCATGCTAATTTGCAAAAAAAGCAGCTGTTGTCTTTATAATTTAAGAGAATTAAGGCTGTTCCCCTGTCCCATTTGTTTGGATACCAACAGGTTGCCAACTGTGACATCTCTGACTTGCAAAGTCCTACTCCTCCTCCCATTTTCTAGGGAGTAGATACCATTCAGATTAAGGGAATTGTTTCCCTCTTGTCTTTAGGGCAGCATTTTGTAACACTGTTAAATTCACGTTAATGCAAAAATTCATGTTTCCCTTTCTTCCAAGGACACACGCTGGCTGCCTGGATAACGGCATCTAGTTGTTAGCCAGGGGAAGCGGGACCCGGAGCTCCTGTGCAGCCCAGACCCTGGCGTGGACTGCGTGCCTGCGCGGCTGCTTATGAATATGTACACGACGGGCTCTGCCCACCAGCCTTTTAATGAGAGTGACATCAAAGCCCTGCCTGCCGGAGGAGGGGACCCACAATG